TAGTACCTGTGGAGAGAACATGAAAATGGTTGCTCACCTGTATCTGCATTGCTGGTACATGGACGCTCCTCTTGCATAAAGAGGTAAACTGGCACTCTATGTGCTGCTATCCCCCGTCCACCCCTGAGCAGGAAGTGGAGCCTTGGCTCCTCTAAGCAGAGCAGCTGAACTGTTGGTAGTAATCCACCAGCATCTAATTACTGGTCCCATGGAGCAAAATAGGAAGCAGGGGAGGAATCCTCTAAGGCATGAGTCATGGGTCTGCACAGACATACTGCCTTGTGAAGAGGACAGACTATATAAGTACAGTGCACACCTTCATGTTTGCACACTTATTATAGTAAATGGTGAGTTATGATGGGAAATTAGAGAGCAATATCCCTGACTTTTGTAAGCTTCCAGTGTGGAAGTCCCCAGGCTTTTAGCTTTACGTGCTGTTGTAGAAACCTCCCACTCAGTTCTGAGCCCCTCACTCTTGGTTGCCTTTTTCAGAATTGAAGAGAGAGCTTTAAAAATTAATGGTTTCATTAAACTGTTTACAGAAGAGACAAAATGAAACAGTCAGAAATTGTATACTGCAATAAATCAGTTTATAGTTCTGATCTGAAATAAGTGTTTATAGTGACAAAAATTGAAAACAATATTTTGATTGTGCTTTTTTAAAGTTCAGACATCTGTTTGTATGAATGTCAAAGTTTTCATCATATTGTGCTTCATGAGAAGACCCATATTAATGTGTGTAAGTGCTGTAGTAAAATGCTGTCCTTTGTAAACAACAAGCAACCCAAGTGCTCAATTTACTTAACGGTTCATTTAGGTTTAAGTTGAATCAGTATTTTACTGTATGCTTTCATAAATTCTTTGTTTTCTGTTTACACACTAGCTGCTAGTGGAAGTGGAAGATGTGAACTGCATTGCCGTGGACTGGGCAGACGGTGCAAAAGGCATATACATCAGTGCAGTGAACAACATCCGTGTTGTTGGGGCTGAGATTGCTTATTTCATAAATACTCTTATGGTAAAAAAATGTATTATGAATTTTAAGTTACTTTTTAAAGCTAAGATTCACGTGAGCATAATGGGTTTATGTAACGGGTGTCTTTGTGCTCTGATCTTATTTTCTTGTGGTCACAAAAGTATGATTCAAAAAGTTAATGTTTGGGAAGTGTAGACCACAGCAGCTAGTTGAGAACCAGCAAAATGGGGATACCTCACACAGCCACAAATGGTACTAAGATATGTCCTAAGGACAGTACAGTAATATGATAGAAGTGACTAATTAACTTAAAAGACCAGTAGGTGGCAATATTTCTTTGCTTTCTCAACTGTATTTGTATATTCACTGCAAGGGAGGCACCAACATGACTCTTAGAGCGATTAGTAAATAGTTGTTAGGAATACATACTTATGCTTGAGATAGAGTTACATTCTCAATTTAGCAATTCATTCCCAAAGCAAACAGAGGCTGGGAGCGGTCCAGAGGTTCACTTACTACCGCTGGACTTCTGGTTCTGATGTCTGGCTACAGGATATAAACACACTTAAGTCTTCTAATTCTGACTTTGTTACTTCCTGGCACAACAGAGCCTCAGAATTATCCCGGGGTTTCCCTCTTAACAACCGTCTTGTCCTGCCTCTGCTGCCAGTCCCCAGTCTCTGTCTGACACAAGAGGAAAGAGTTTCAAACTTAGGCACGTAAATCAAAGTGGCTGATTTACAAAACTGTTGACACCTGCAGCTCACACGGACTTTGAATAGAGTTGTGGATGCTCAGTACCTCTGAGAATCAGGGCATTTGTTTAGCTAAATACATGTGGATTTAGATGCCACACATTGAACATCTATGTCTAATTTGGTTTATGCATTTCTCTTCCGTCAATTGTATAGCCTACTTCCATTGCTCAAAGCCCTGAGTGTGGCACAAAATTCAACCCAACCTAGGCCAAACTATTGCCTACCAACTGAAGGATCCACAGTAGAGACAGTTCACACCCAGATATTTTCCCTTTGTGCCTGACTGAATATGAGACAACTGTATTATGACTGGATCTCCAGTGTAGATGTCCTACGCCTATACAATACTAATTGTATGTTTTCCGTGAAGACTGTATTTGTGAGAACTCTGGAACAGGACTTTGCCACTGAACAATTCACATGCAAATCAAACCTTTATGTGGCTTTATGAACGGCTAACAGAAATTATTAGGAGATATTTGGTTTGAACTTAGGATGGATACCTACTAAAATCATTGGCAAAAGTTATAAGGAACCTGGGTAACATTGTAAATTGAAAGCCTGGGATTCTTTCATGTAAAGGTAAAAACATTTGAAAATTCTGTAGCCAAAGTTTTTTCTGTTCCTCTCTCAAGGAAGACAAGCAAATATGACTGGAGGCACTTATTCTGGTACATGCATAAGCAAGTTAGGTGTGGACTCCAGGTAACTAGTCACTGTTGCTTTCGGTGTCATAAAAGTTGCAACTCCTTGGGTCAAATACACTCCTATACAGAGTGTATTCACCAATTAATCTCCACTTAAACCTCTAGGGCCATGTGAAACCTAAGGGGTGAATAGGCCTTGTACAGTAACTCAGCACAGAGGCGGTGAATTTCATCACATCCAAGCTTACCAAAGAGACGCTTAAAGGATGGCTGGATCACAGTACATAATTACCTATATGGGGGAACAGAATTTTGATAGAGGGCTCTTCAGTCTAGCAGGCAAAGACATATCAAGATCCAGTGGCTAGAACCTGAAGCTAGACAAATTCATACTAGAAGTAAGGTGCCCACTTTTAACAGTGAGGGTAATTAACCATTGGACCAACTAACCAAAGGTTGTGATGAATTTTCCATCACTGGAAATCTTTAAATTGAGATGGGATTTTTTCTAAAATGTTCTAGTTCAAACAAGAATTAATACAGGGAAGTCCTGTGGCCAGTGTTATGCAGGAGGTCAGACTAAATTATCACAATGGTCCCTTCCGGCTGTAAAATCTATGAAAATAAGGCATCTTCTGTGTTTGACATTTAAATACATATGTTCTATTTTCTTTTTTTCAAAAACTCTTCAGAAAATGTTTCAATACCGCCCTTCTCATATCCATATCATTGGCCATAGTCTGGGTGCACATGCTGCAGGAGATGCGGGAAGAAGAATACGAGGCATCAAAAGAATAACCGGTAGGCTACTCATTAAGATGGAACTTTATAGGGTATGTTCTTTAAGAGGAAAGAAGTTTGCAAATCTGGACCCACTGAGCCAAACAGGCATAAGTGGTTGTATCTTCACCAACTTCAATGAGTTGTGGTGCTTGCTTATGCCACAGCGGAATTTAGCCCGTTCTGTGTGTTGTTCCTATAGACGTCACTATGCATTCTTTACGGTGTTAACATGAGTAAGCAAAATATTTAAATAAAAAAACTAGTGTATCTGCATACTGGTAGATATTCAACATTTATTGTTGTGTTTGTTAGCTGAAAACGCAATAACATTATCAGTATTGAGGATTCTTATGCAGATCTGTATTTAGTAGTCTCAAGCAAATGATGACCTGAGATACGACTGGCAAGTTTCTCGCCACACACAGTTTTCCATGTCTTACAATCCATTTGCAAAGTAAAGCTGAAGTTTCTCCTTAACATACTTTCAGTGGAAGTGGGAATTGGGATGGGACTTATTAACAAGGCAGATACACTCTGCCTCCAAGGAGTCTCCCAATGGCCACTGTTAAGACATATGTCTTGCTCTGAATGGGTTTAAGAGGTGAGGCGGGAACACAGGCTACAATCCCACTAAATGACCTTTTCCCAGGCCTTTGAGAGGTAATAACCACACAAGTCCCCTGAAGACTTTTCTGTGCTGTCTCGGTTTTCCCCACTCCTACATGCACCTGCACAGCAGCAGAACGCGACAGCAATCCCTGCACTCCCATGAGCACAAGCACTGCTCCAGCTAAGTATAGGAAGGAGGCGGTCACAGCCTCACCTCTCTCCGACACCAAACTAGCACTGCCTAGGGCGGGAGGAGCCTGTGGCACAGTTCCCATGTTCTCTTACAGCACAATTGCACCACATGCTGTTGTTTTAAACCACGATGGAGGTCCAAGTATTGGGAGAAGGTGGTTCTCCCTGTACTTCTGTTGGACCCTGCTAAAGGTTTGTGGGCACAACCAGCAGAGCCAGACAGGCTATAACTGCATTCCTGTGTTGTATTTTGTTTTTTCCCCCTCACTTCCCCAGATTCATTTGTAGTAGTTCCTGCTGCTAGTGACAGGAGGTCGGTGATTAAGGCACTGGACTAGGATAGATCAGTTCCTGGCTCTGTGAAAGGCTTCTTGTGTGACCTTGAGCAAGTCACTTAATCTCTGTCCTTCAGTCCTTCATCTGCAAAAGGGGGATAATCATGATAATGCTTCCTTTCTCTACTTAGATTGCAAGCTCCTTTGTGCAAGGACTGTCTCTCGCTTTGCATTTGTAATGCGCCTATTACAGTTGGGCCCAATGGTTGCTACTAAAATACAAATAAATAACTGATCAAAAACTCTTTAGTCTTTCCATTCCACACCAGCAGAAAATGTAGGAAACTGGATCATTGTGTTAAAATCCCCCCTCATCCTTGGTAATATGACACCATTATACACTAACCGATAGCACTTTGCTGGCGCTGGGATGAGTTTGCAGGAAGGCTGCCTTCCAGAAGTTGAGACTCACTTCTAGATCACTTGGAAAAAACAATAGACCATCATGAGAAACGAAGCTTCATTCTCCTTGGAGTGACTACATTTTATGAAGTATTCCTGACTTCTGTAAGTGTTTTGACACTGTACAAATGTTTATGACATTAAAATGTTCAGGGCACTGGCCTGGGGTTCTAACCCGTGTTTACATTACTACTCACCATGCATTATATACTTCATTTGAAACTGATGCTCTACCTGCGTACAATTTTTTTCCAATCCAACAGTGAATAATTTGTTCCTCTTTAGGTTTGGACCCCGCTGGGCCCTTCTTTGAAGGCACTCCGCCTAACGTCAGATTGGACCCTACGGATGCAAGATTTGTTGACGTTATTCATAGTAATGCTGCCCAATTTCCTACTATAGGTAAGGTCCCACATACATTTGCAGCAACAGTCCTGACACTGAATTAACTGAGGCACTCACCATGTCACGTATGTATTTCAGGAGTTGGAATGGTTAATACCACTGGCCACCTTGACTTTTACCCAAACGGAGGAAGTATTATGCCTGGATGCGATGATGTAATTATTCCAGTGACTAAAAAAGACTGTCGAGTCTTCGCTGAAGGTAAATCTACTTCAAACATCTGAAGCATTAACTCACAGTGTCTGTTCATATAGTTCTGAACGTGGCAAATGGAGCTTTTTTGAGGGTTTTATTTTTAAAATAATGTTTTTGCATATTTGATGATGGGTGGGAAAAAAGCATGAAACAAAGGCACAGAGCCTGAGTACATCTCCCCTCCCTGTAGCAACTTGAGCCAAAGAGCTGGACTGAATGTTTCCAAGGAGAAGGGGGAAAGAATCCCCTCTCCACATGGCTTGGAATGGTGGACACAAAGCTTGTGTATCCCTTATACTCTATTCATTTCATCTGAATTGCATTCTTTACGGCAGGGGTTCTCAAATTTCATTGCATCGCGACCCCCTTTCAACAATAAAAATTACTACATGACCCCAGGAGCCTAAGCCAGTCCGAGCCCCAGGTTTGGGGGGGGGGACAAAGTTGAAGCCCTAGGTCTTCGGTCCCAGGCAAGGGTCTGTAATCTGAGTCCAGACACCCAGGGCTAAAGCCCTCAGACTTCAGCTCCGGGCGGTGATGCTCAGGCTTCAGCTTCAGCACCAGGAAGTCTAAGCCAGCCCTGGCTACCCCATTAACATGGGGTTGTGACCCACTTTCGGGTCCCGACCCACAGTTTGAGAACTGCTGC